TGTATGTGTGTATGTATATATATGTGTGTGTGTGTATATATATATATATATATATATATATATATATATATATATATGTATGTGTATAAATATAATAATTATTAAAATAATTTAAGAAATTTAAATCAAAATGACTAATTCTGCTAATTATCTAAATGAAAATAAAACAAATGGTTAATAGTGAAGGGATAACTTAAAAAAAAAAAGCCTTTTAAAAGCTTTATAGAAAACAGCTATAGAGCTTTTGCTCAATAGCAAAACTAAAAGTAGTTATTTGAAAGTTATAATTGAATTTAGGCATTACCTTATAACATACAGTTTAATGGATATTTGAGTATTAGATGATAGCAATCTAAATGGAAAAATAGGAAAATTAGTATGAAATTAATGAAATATCTGAATATTGACTGATAAATAATGATTAAAATATGTGGATATTGGCCAGTAATCAATATGATACCAATATATTTTGCATTCTTGAAATTTAGCATATTTATTTTCTTAATGCTTGGTCTTATTGTGAATAATTTCTTGGTTCATTTAAAAACAAATTGGCTTTGTGACTTCATCCAAATTGAAACTGAACTATCTCAAAACAGGTGGTAAATTACTATAATGCGTTGACTAAACCATTGGCTGTGCAAAAAATAAACATGAATTCAGATGTTCTCTTTCATCAGATAATAAAACTGAACTGTAACTGTGTTCTGGTTTGTGGTTGGTTTCGCAGGAAGTGTTGGACTTGGCTTTCAGCATCACATACGATGTTGAAGAGTATAGCTTGAACTTCATCGCCTCTTCCAGAACAGATGTGAGATTAATCTATTTTTCCACTCCTGAACTTCTGGGAGCCTTCTGTTAATGTACTGTTAACTCAGTTCAAGCGGTACTAATTTAACTGACTGTTGTCTTCCAGTTCTGTCTATGGACTGACGGCCTCAATGTGCTCCTGGGTAAAGAGATGAGCAGCGAGAGCATGCGCAGCGAACTAGAGATTCTCCTCTCTATGGAAATCAAGCTCCGCCTCCTGGACCTGGAAAACGTCCCAATCCCAGACACGGCACCGCCAATCCCCAAACCACCCAGCAACTTCAACTTCTGCTACGACTTCAGCCAAGCCGAACAATAACACCAGCCATAAGCGTGTGGTCAGCAGCGGTTACTGCATTGCTATGACAGCAATGGAAACGACTGGAAATGGCCACTTGGTGGCAGCAGAAATGCAGGTTTTGGATTGGGAGACATTTGATAGTATTACAGGGCTTGAAATGAGAGAGAGAGAGAGCACTTTGTGATAGTGTTTATCTGTGGTGCTGTGCTGTAATATAAGTGCCTGCAGTGAATAAGACGGTCTTGCGTTGAGTGTGTTTATTAGTTAAAGGCCTGACGTGTTGTATCTAACGTGCCTTTTTTGTCGAATCTCATATAATAGACCTGACTGAAATTCTCAGGTTTGAACGCACACTTTTTGTGGTACTTTTTCCCCTTTTTGACTTGTTTAGCTTCTACCAAAATTGTACTTAAAGGCATTACATCAAGCAGCTTATTTGGAAGGGGGGGAAAAATCAAGTATATGTTATAAACATTTGTGCTTAATGTTGGCATCCTTATTCATTCCCTTCATGAGACTCAAAATGGTACTCATCTAGTACGATGTTATACAGTTTAACGTTTATTACAATCGCTAATTAATAGTTTATCATGGAAAGAGCACTGATGTGCCTGGAACATTTCATGTTTCTGTTTATACTAATGCACGGATGGCATTATTGCATTGGCAGCATTTTCAGTCTGTTGCATTATAAGGTGCACATTAAAGGTCAGTGTGCTGGATTAAATAGGTGATCAACAAATTTGGTACTGAAGTGGCATTAAGTTCCATATGGAAAATGGTTGGGAGATATTTTGTGGTGTTAGAGGAGTAGTTTGGCCAAGTGATTTGGACTATCTTTGAATATTATCGGTGTGATTTGATACTTTCAGCTTCGTCACATAATCATATTTTCAATTTACTTGATGTATATAACTTCACATTTGATTTTGGTCCAACTGCTCCATTTTGAAATAGCCAGTTTCCCTTCAGTTCAAAAATCCACTAGCCATTGTAGGACTTTACATCAGTGTTTTTTGTTTCTGTTTTAAAAAAGATTGTGTTCTTTTATCTGATTTCATCCACCGACTGTTTTGGCTAAAGAGCTAAATGTGGTTTTATCACCACATAACAAGCACTTTACATAGTATGTTGATTTATAATGCATACCATGTATCAAGATAAAAAATATATCATTCAAATATTCTGTGGTGCCATTGTAAAGTGCATTAATGGAGCTGACAACTTTAATGTGTGGAAAATCTGCAGGATTTATATAAACCGCTGATTTTGTTCTTTTGTGGTTTTCACATCTAGCAAAATAATTTCTTGATCTAGCAAAATAATCCATGTACTGTATTGTTTTGTATATAGCTTTCCTTGTTAAACTTCTGGTTTTGCGTAACAATCTTGACCAGCGATGTGGCCACTTTACCAGCTGACAATGGTACGTGATATTAATTCAAGATTTGTTTTCCTTTGTATGGAATAAAGAATATCTATTATTATAATAGTCTCAATGTCTTTTCTTTTGTATGTTTTTTCATTACAAATCAGACTCTGGTTGCACTGTTTTCACACGTAGCCCATGAGGAGAACTCTATGACAGCGTTGCTATCATTTTGGTACGCTGTTGATTTATTAATTTCATAAATTTGAAATGAACTGTCACTACAACAGCGTCTGCTAAAATGTTTTAATATAAACTGAATTAGAATATATATGTAGATAGTATAATTCCACATTTGAAACATGACACTTTTAATTACAGGTTGAGTTAAGCAACAAATTGTATTCTAAAACTAGACCTTTGAGCTTATTACTCGGTCATGTAACCTGAAATTTCACCCTTACCCTGGCGCTGACATAACACAAGTTGTAAAGTAACACTATAAAAACTGCACATTCAAATCACAGTGGGATAAGATAATGAAAAGACAAAAAACGAATTCTTATATTTATTGATGTATACTGCCTGGAAGTAGAGATTTATATCTACTAATCAATAGCAGATCATGTTTACAGTTCTACTGGAGTCATTTGAAATGTTTGGACCCTCAGATTCATTCAGAAGCAGTGATTCACCACATTAATAGCACAATTACAGTCCTATGCAAAACAATACAGCATTTAGGAATTGATTACTCTTTCATACCTGAGTTAAAAGTGCTTTAAATATATTTCAGTTTTAAATATATTTATATGAAATATATTAAATATATTTCAATTTTATAATATTTCAGAGTGCAGCGGTCAGGTTCCAGCAGTAAAACTCGGTTCATTTTCTCCATAATGAAATAGATTTTGAACCACGACTTGTAAAGTTTACATTATTTCAACTTCTTTTTAAAATAACTAAACAGCAGAATTTGTGGTGGAAAAACTACTTTACCCATGATGCTGTGCAGAAACCTTTAAAAAGAAGTAACCTTTAAATATATTGTTTCTATAGATATAATCAACAACTTTAAATGAGCAGATCTATATTTCTCCATCGTTTTTAATTCGATTGTAATTCACAATTCTTCATGGTATACTAGTTCTCTCCTTCAGCCAAGTCCTTGTCCACTTTTCAAATACTTTTTTGCTTTGTATGCTTTTGTTCATGGCTTCAAATGCTTTCGAAGACTTTTTAAAAAAATCCCTACGTAAGCAATAAACAGAAAAATTACTTCTGGAAACAAAGCTGCTGAAAAAGTGGACAGCCACTAATGCACTCTATTACAGCTTCATAGTACCATAGTAAAATCTGCACCGTTGACAAAGCGACACTGGACCTTCTCGAGGAAGGGCAGCCGGGACTGGAGGAGGTCCACCTGGTGCACTGTGATATCCTTACACATGGACACATCGAGGGTCCGGAGTCTGTCGCAGTGCAGCGAGATTATAGAAAGAGTTCTGCAGGAACACATTGAGCGCTTTAAGCAGAGAAACAAAACACGAATGACTGGAGGACGCCACTTACTCGTTGGTAACCACGTCACAGCAGGCCAGGAACAGATGCTGCAGTCTGTGGAGGAGCGGAAGGGCCCGCGCCATGCCCTGGTCACTGATCTGGGGACAGTGGCTGAGCGCCAGGCTGGTGAGGCTGCGGCAGTGATAGGCTACAGACACCAAGCTGTCGTCACTGATCTCAGGCAGCATAGAAAGCGAGAGACGCTGCAGGTCTGGGAAACGGAGTACCTGAGGTGGCCAGGAACATTTTGACATCATATCCTGTGCCATTTTTTGAAAGTACATGCTTTGATCACTGAGGTACTGACCTGTGTGATACTGGTGTCAGTTAACTTGGAGCAGGCCGACAGGTCCAGTTCCTGAAGACCCCTGAGGGCCAAAAGAGCCGCTCCCTCTTGATGCTCCTTAAAGGCCCCGAGGTCCTCCTCGGTCACGAGACGTGGCCTCTCCTGGAAAGGCAGGCTGGGAGGCTGGAAAAAGCCCATGTTCCCAAACGTCCTAGTAAAGCTTGGGCCTTTATCCTCCTTCACATTTGGGGCATTTATGAGCTAACTGTGTGCAGGTATTATCAGAACGTTATATTAGTTCTAAACAAAACAACAAAAACAGGGCAATCCCACCTCTTTGTCTCTTGGTTCACAATCTTTGGTGGGCTCCACCATTCCAAGCAGCCCCCAGTCGGAGATCTCTTTGCACCAGCCGAGCCGCAGCACCACCAGCGCAGGGAGGTACGTTGCGATGGCACGAACGCTCAGGTCAGTGAGGCAGATGCAGGAAGTGAGGTCCAGCTCTCGCAGGTTACGGCCGAGCAGCTGTGTCAGGGAGAACATGACTGTATCCTGTTTAAGAACACAGGGTTTTAGCAAGAATAAAAAGGTCTGCAGGATCATTTGAGGAAAATATTAAAATTAAATTATGAGACACAAAAATAGCACGTTTTAAATACGTTTTACCCTAAATAAGCTAATAATAATTTTTACAGTTTGATACTATTTTATTAATTACGGATTATAGTTATGTTGTAAATATAATATTAGAATTGACATATTATTAATATTATTTAGTATTAACAGTATTTACATAAGTTGTAAAAGTATTCTAAATAAAATATAAATGTTTTAATACATAAACGAAAACTAAAAAAGTAAAAAATTGTTTTAAAAATATTTAGGCATCACAACAATATAATTTACAGCATGAAAATATTGCATGATATATTCATTTTACTCTACATTCTGGCACGTATAACATGCTAATAATTATTTATATATAATTATAATTTAATATATTGCACATATTTTTAATAATAAATTATTACAAAATAAAACTAATTGTTTTACACATTATAATTTACCAAATTAAAAATAGACATTAATATTAACCTTTTTTTAAATACAAAATATCAACTAAAATTGTAAGATGGATTCATATTACCCTAAATATTAGCCGGTATAATAATCTAATAATTATTATCATTTTTATTTTTTTTACTATTTTGTCAATTACAAATTATATTAGAATTATAATATTATCATGTTTATATTTTTATATTGAAAATTATAAGAAAAAAATACAAATATTTAGTTAATACATAAAAAATTAAACACAAAACTAAATTAAATTAAATAGTTTTTGTGGATTTAGGCATCACATTATAATTTACAATATGAAAAATGGATAATCATTTTGAAATTGGTTAGAGATTGCATTTTACAGTTATTAAACTATAAGTGTTTGTAAAGATGAGCTTTAAATGAGAGTTAGTTGATGGCAAAGGTAAAGTAGTCAAAGTACACGATTTTGTTAATTATAAAATATATTAAAATTATAATATAAAATATATTCATTACAATTGCAATTTTTATATATATTAATTACATTTTAAAATATAAATTAAATTCTAAATAAAATAGTATACCTGTTTTTGTTTTGTTTTGTTAATTGTCAATCTAGGCATCACAACATTATAATTTTAATATAATATTTTATTATTTATAATATAATTATTATTATTTAAAATATGAAAAATGGATAATTATTTTGAAATTTGTTAAAGATTGCATTTTACAGTTAATAAACTAAGTATTTTTAAAGATAGTTAGTTGATGGCAAAGGTAATCTCTATGTAAAAGTATGGGATATGAACAGGAACAATTAAATATATAATATAGTCCCATACAATTGTTAAAAAAATTGCTAATACTGGCCGTTAACTGATAGGATACACTTTTTCATGTATATGTGCCATTCAGCACTTTCTGCCTCACCCTTATGTAAGTGCAGTTTCTAAGGCTAAGGGTCTCCAGCTGAGCCCTGGGCTGTGGAGAGGACAGTCCCTTCCCCAGGTCTGCACCACTGACATGCAGACACTCCGACAGATCCAGACTCCTCAAGCACGGCAGCGTCATCAGCTCGGCCAGGCCTTTATCCGTGATCTTCCAGTCCTGCGAGAGGGACAGCGACCGCAGCTCCTTCAGCTCAGTGGCCACAGCCAGCACCGTCCTACTGGTTAACTCCGTACAGGCTCGAAGGTCCAACGTCCTCAGACCGTTCTGCTGCTTGCAGAGGATTTCCATGGAGTAGTCCGTCAGCTCTTTACAGCCGCGTAGACTCAGATCCTCCAGACGCAGGCCGGGCACCTGAGCTATGGAGCGGAGCGAATCGGGAGTGATGCTGGTGCGACTCAGGTCCAGGCTGTGGAGCGTGGAGGCCTGCTTCTGCAAGAGACTCAGGAGGTTACGGAGGGAAACTAGAGCAGAAGAGCCAAACCCGACCGGGCAACCTCGGTATGGGTCGAACTCGAAAGCGATGTGACATCCGGCCAGGGACAGACTGCGTAACCTGGGTGTGCAACTCGTCAGGCGATTAAAAGAGAGGTCTGAGAGATAGCGCAGATCAGACAGGTCCAGTTCCTCCAGATTCCTCAAAGCACTCTGGACCTATTATTGCAAAAATAATTGATTATATCAGATGACATTAGATAATAAGATGGTACATGCATACAATATATTTATTATAAAAAAACAGTAAATATTTAAAATTGGTTAGCCAAAATAATGGTTTTAAAACTATAAACATCTAACTGCTTTCATTTAGAAGAGAGTCTATTTACACTAGCTCCGCCCACCAGCGTGTGATTGGGCTAGACAACACTAAAAAAGATGATACTCTAACAACAGCTCCAGTAGCGTTAATGGTAAAGCTTGTGCCGAAGACATTTTTGACATTTTTTGACAATCCGCCTATAGCTGAACTATCCCTTTAATTTACAGAATAAAAATGGACATTATATTTTGAGTAGGGTTGCAAAAAGGTGGCCATTTTTCAGAAAATGTCCAAAACTCTCCAGAAAGCTAGGAAACTTTCCAGGATTTTTTTTGGAAACTTTCTGACATTTTTGGAAAGTTTCCAGAAATGTTATGTAATTTTGAGATGTAACCTGTCGACGGTGCTCCTCTCTTGACAAAAAAGCTCCAGACATAAAGAGGCTGTCCAGACCCTGGAGGTCCAGCATGCGAAGGGCGGTCAGATGTGGTAGGAGGCCCAGCAGTAA